CTAAAGTTCAACAGACATCACATACATTTGTATAGTCCTGCACTTCTGTAAGTCATGCTTGAAAATACCTTACAATCCAATTTTCTCCTAGTACAAATATACTTCCTGCACATTTACTCCTGTGCTCTATGTTGGCATGAACGAGTAACATATTCCACATCTCAAGTATTTTGATTGGGTCTGTTAGATTGTGGAGAGCACTTGGTGACATAGTAAAGATTTGTTCTTTGCTCTACTTTCTTTCCTCACTATGTTCTGCCATCAAGAAAGGAAGCTGCATGTAACCTAACCCCATGCAATATTGCTGGGCCGAGCACCGCCACTGTCACATGACAAGAACAGGAAGTCAGACCATGCTATATACAAAGAGCACTGTGTATTTTCCGCACTCATGTAGGCTAAACAGAGTGGTGGGGGAGCAGTAAAAAGAATGTATGTACTTTTGGAGAAGGGAGCATTAAAATGAACCAGTTTCTTATCCATAAATGTGTAAAGCACAGGTTTGCTTAAATTGGAACTTTACCCAAAAGGGAAAGTTCCGCTCTTCCTCCTCCTACCCCTTCATCTGTTATATTCAAATATTTTTTTTTTTTGAATGGGGGGGGGGGGGGGGAGTTTTTGACAGATCACTTCTAGCCAGATCTCGGTGATTCCACTGGAAGTCTGACTCCCTGCTGCAACCTTCTGGGACATGTCACAGGTCCCAGAAGGCTGTGGGACTATTCACAAAGTGCAGTGTGGCTCATGCATGTGCAGTGGGTAGCTGGCTGCGAAGCTACAAGGAGTCACAGTTGGTTGCCCACAGTTAACATGTTGGCACTGGGGACCCAAAGACCCGTAAAGAATTGGTAAGGGTGAGGACAGAGCTGGATCCTTAGACAGGTGAGTGTCCTTTTATTAAAAAGTCAACAGCCACATTTTTGCAGACCAGATCCTCCTGGTTTTCTCTCCTCTCCTCGCAGTGCTGATAGGACGGCTAGACGGATTCTGATTAGTCAGCGTGGTTCATGTGATGGTGCTGACCAATTTGAATGCGTACACACTGAGAAGAAGAGATAGGAGATTAAGCCACGGGGATTTCAAATCCTCAGACATGTGAAGCGGCGTCCCAGTGCCTGACAACAGTGGATTTCTGGACACTGGTACAGCGGGACTGCAGGGATGAGGAGGGAGTTCAGTGTAAGATCACTTTATAGATTTTCTGTAAAGGTGAACTCACACTTTAAAGACATGCACTGCTTAAGAAACATGAAAGTTATATTTATTTATATTTATTACTAGTACATCCCCCCGTTTAAATTTGCAATGCAAGTACCTAAATAATATAAAGAATCTACACAACACTGTGAACTCTGTGCTGCTCTTGTGAAAATGAAGGAAAGTGGCTTTCAAATTTAAACTAAATTGATACCCCTAGTTCTTATATTAAGAATTCTGATACAATCACTGCACTGACAAGCACAATTAAAAAAAATGAAACTTGCTTAAGAGGCATGTATTGAATAATGTTCTAACAATAATTTGATACTAATATTCAAAATTCTGTTTCATATTACTACATGTTAAACACCAAATTTTTCTAGATCTGTGCTGACCAATTTTAATGATGGCAAGTGCACGTATACATAACCAAACCACAAGCCATGGAAAGATTTGTACATAAATGTCATTTATACCAGCCTTTTTCAACCAGGTTACCCAGGCACTCTTGGGTGCCATCAGGTTTCTTCAAGGGTGCCATGGAAAAATGCCTAAAAATTGCATACAAGTCAGTGGGTGGATCAAGCCTGCATTTTAGTTACACAAAGCCACATGTTTTCATTGTGCATCATTACAACTTCTAGATGCTGTTGTTCTAACAGCCAATGACACCAATGGCTGATAAGTAGGACTTCTGGCCCCTGCTCAGCATCCTCGTTTGTCCCACCCCTGCCCCTTCCCATCATTCACTGAGCTGAGTGAGAGAGAGAAAATGGGGTAGAAGAGAAACACCAAAATACTGTCAGCTTGCAAACTTGAGAGGATAAATCACCTCTAACGATGGATATCCTATGTATGTGGATGTTGGTGTGTTATATAAAACTATTCATTTAGTTTTCAATATTTTATAATGTGGTGCCTCGAGGTTGTGCATAATTTTAAAGGGTGTCTTGACTGAAAAAAAGGTTGAGAAACACTGATATATACAACCCAAAAATATCAGAGAGACAGAGCTCACTATAAAATTTTAAAGGCTATAAAGGGAATTTAGCAGTAAACAATCATGCTTTGATGACTGGTTCAATTTAACCACTCATGGACAATCATGTTAGCACAAAAAGGGTTTTGTCTCAGTTACAAAATAATACTGTGACTTGGAAATTCAGTTTAGTATGATAGCATTTCCATATATATAAAAGGTAAATACTGACCTAGATTCCCAAAACACATTGTATGCCCAATACCTGTTATCGCTGACACAGAACAATGTATGTTTAATATGGGCTATCTGCAACCTCAGCAGAACTTATACAGGAAAACAGCTATTAGATGCAGATTTTTTTTTATCATCCAACAACCTATTTTGCACCTTTGCAAGTAATATTGTGCACAGCGATCAGTCATCTATCAATCGTGTAGCTCTACCATAAGCAAAGCTATATTTAGAGAATTGTATCCCCAAACCATATAGCTGGTCAAAATGCCCTCAAAAAGAAATTTGATTGTATATGAAACCAATTTTATTCCACCGTCCCTAAATCTGACGTGAAATGGAATCTGTAAATGTGCTTATGATGTCTGGCAGTACATTTAAATTAGCAGTTAATATAACATTTATCAGATGTAACTTTTAAATAGGCATGACAATTGGAAATCTTTTCAAACACCTGCACTATGAAACAGGAGTAATAATGCATTGTTTGTGCAAGTAGCTTTTTTTAGATAAAGGGAATTTTCACTACCTCTGCAGAACACAGACTTCTCATGAATAGAAACAGAGCAACATATGTAGCCAAATGCCTAAAATGTGATGCATTTTAAAAAAACATACTAATAAATAATATTGCTTGGCAAGTTATAAAACAGAATAAGAATGTTTTACCTTAAGACTATATACAGATCTTAAAACAGATGATCTTTTTCGGATTAATAAAAATACGTAATCAGTCAGTTTTGATACTAAGAACCTGGGTGCAGTTTCTTTTCATTCAGGAACTGGGAGCTTCTGACACAAGTGCTGGATGGATTAAGAGTATTGTCAGTTATAAGGTAGGTATGGATGGAAGGAGTTATCTTAGTGTCAGGGGCTAGGTGTTAGGTCAAAGTGGAGCTCCATCCAAAGGGGGAAGTTCCACATTAAGCCTTTGTCTCTCGCTTCCCGTTAAGGATTGGCACCTTTGGGGAGCGGGTACCCGAATTTGACAGGTACCCGCTCCCACTTCTGCTGCGATCGCCTAAGGCGATCAGAAGTGGAAATTGTCCTCCCCCCCCTCCCTCCCTGTAGTCTTCTGAGACACGTGACAGGTCCCAGAAGACTACGGGACCATTCACAAAGCTCAGCGCTACTCGCGCATGCGCAGTGGGCACCCAGCTCTGAAGCCGCAAGCTGTCACAGACGGGTGCCCACACTGAAGATTCCGGCACCGGGGGGAGAAGACAACCAGTGAAACCTGCCGTGCTGAGGACACCACTGGACCGAAAGACAGGTAAGTGTCTGTATTTTAAAAGTCAGCAGCTACAGTTTTTGTAGCTGTGGACTTATTTTTGTTTATATTCAACTGGAACTCTGCTTTAAGAATAAATGTGAAGGTAGACCTATGGCTATTTAACCTACAGCCCAACCCCTGGCAACATGACACTTTCCAGTGCCTGCCAGTTTTCCTGTATGCCACTAACCTTAAAGTATACAGTGGATATAAAAGTCTACACACCCGTTAAAATGTCAGGCTTCTGTGATGTAAAAAAATGAGACAAAGATAAATAATTTCAAAAATGTTTCCACCTATAATGTAACCTATAAACTGTACAACTTAGTTGAACAACAAACTGAACTCTTTTAGTTGGAGGGAAGTAAAAATAAAAAACTAAAATAATATGGTTGCATAAGTGTGCACACCCTTAAACTAATACTTTGTTGAAGCACCTTTTGATTTTATTACAGCACTCAGTCTTTTTGGGTATGAGTCTATCAGCATGGCACATCTTGACTTGGCAATATTTGCCCTCTCTTCCTTGCAAAAACACTCCAAATCTGTCAGATTGCGAGGGCATCTCCTGTGCACAGCCCTCTTCAGATCACCCCACAGATTTTTGATCGGATTCAGGTCTGGGCTCTGGCTGGGCCATTCCAAAACTTTAACCTTCTTTTTGTGAAGCCATTCCTTTGATGATCTGGATGTATGCTTTGGGTCGTTGTAATGCTAAAAGATGGACTTCCTCATCATGTTCAGCTTTCTAGCAGACACCTGAAGGTTTTGTGCCAATATTGACTGGTATTTGGAACTGTTCAAAATTCCCTCTACCTTGACTAAGACCCCAGTTCCAGCTGAAGAAAAAACAGCCCCAAAGCATGATGCTGCCACCACCGTGCTTCACTGTGGGTATGGTGTTCTTTTGGTGATGTGCAGTATTGTTTTTGTGCCAAATATATCTTTTGGAATTATGGCCAAAAAGTTCAACCTTGTTTTCATCAGACAATAACACATTTTCCCACATGCTTTTGGGAGACTTCAGATGTGTTTTTTTGCAAAATTTAGCCAGGCTTGGATGTTTTTCTTTGGAAGAAAAGGCTTTTGTCTTGCCACTCTACCTCATAGCCCAAACATATAAAGAATACAGGAGACTGTTGTCACATGTACCACACAGCTAGTACTTGCCAGATCAAAATCATGTTAAATAGGAGTCAGATTTCCTGACATACACTATACTGCCAAAAGTATTGGGACACCCCTCCAAATCATTGGATTCAGGTGTTCCAATCACCTCCATGGCCACTGGCATATAAAAGCAAGCACCTAGGCACGCAGACTGCTTCTACAAACATTTGTGAAAGAATGGATCACTCTCAGGAGCTCAGTGAAGTCAAGCGTGGTGCCGTCATAGGTTGCCACCTGTGCAATAAGTCCATCCGTGAAATTTTCTTGCTACTAAATATTCCACGGTCAACTGTCAGCGTTATTACAACAAAGTGGAAGCAACTGGGAACAACAGCAACTTAGCCATGAAGTGGTAGGCCATGTAAAATGACAGAGTGGGGTCAGTGCATGCTGAAGCGCACAGTGCACAAAAGTCGCCAACTGCCTGCAGAGTCAATAGCTAAAGACCTCCAAACTTGGTGTGGCCTTCAGATGAGAACACAGTATATAGAGAGCTTCATGGAATGGGTTTCCATGGTTGAGCAACTGCACCAAAGCCTTACATTACCAAGTGCAATGCAAAGTGTTGGATGCAGTGGTATAAAGCACACCGCCACTGGACTCTAGAGCAGTGTAGACGTGTTCTCTGGAGTGACTAATCACGGTTCACTGTCTGGCAATCCGATGGATGTGTCTGGGTTTGGTGGTTGCCAGAAGAACGGTACTTGCCTGACTGCTTTGTGCCAAGTGTAAAGTTTGGTGGAGGGGGGATTATGGTGTGGGGTTGTTTTTCAGGCGTTGGGCTTGGCCCCTTAGTTCCAGTGAAGGGAACTCTTTAGGCGTCAGCATACCAAGACATGCGGGACAATTTTGTGGGAACAGTTCGGGGATGGCCCCTTGCTGTTCCAAGATGACTGCACACCAGAGCACAAAGCAAGGTCCATAAAGACATGGATGAGCAAGTTTGGGGTGGAGGAACTTGACTGGCCTGGACAAAGTCCTGACCTCAACCTGATAGAACACCTTTGGGATGAATTAGAGCAGAGACTGAGAGCCAGGCCTTCCCGTCTAACATCAGTGCCTGACCTCACAAATGTGCTTCTGAAATAATGGTCAAACATTCCCATAGACACACTCCTAAACCTTGTGGACAGCCTTTCCAAAAGAGTTGAAGCTGTTAGAGCTGCAAAGGGAGGGCAAATAAATATTTAACCCTATGGACTAAGACTGGGATGTCATTTAAGTTCATGTGCATGTAAAGGCAGGCGTCCCAATACTTTTGGCAATATAGTGTATGTGTGCCCCATATGCATTTAGCAAGAGCTCTTTCCTGTCACACAGGCAGCAGCCTTATCTTGTGGGAAATAAATGTACATATGTGGAGAGAGACGAGGGGTACGGTACAGGCGGAGTCCTGTAGTCCAGCAAGAAGGACTGACAGCAAAGGAACTGTGTTAACAGTCCGAACAGAAAGTTAGGTGCACACTGAATTTCTGATTGATCAATATGTATGTTTGTGTACTTGCAGTGTTTTTGAAGGGATTAAACATGAGAAAATGTGTATGTATTGGAGAGATACTGTATAATGAATATGTTTTTGTTTTTAATATGCCCCAAGATACACTTTAACCACCTACCGCCTGCTATATAAGGTAATGACGGGCGCAAGGCAGTTCTCTCGTTCTGGGAGGACATCATATGATGTCCTCCCACTCTAACCGCATGTGCGTGGCTCCAGGAGCGTGCAGCACGGCGATCGGTGATCAATGGAAAGAGCCAAAGATGCCATCTCGGTCATGTGATCAGCTGTATCCAATCACAGCTGATCACATGTAAATAGGGAAATGCTGGTTATCGGCATTTCTCTCCTCATGAGCTGTAACGCTGACAGCTTGAGAGGAGAGGAGAGCCGGTAATCGGCATTCCTCAGAGGGGACATGTACACCGATCATCAGGGCACTGATTATCAGTGTGCCCTGATGATCAGTGTAGCTCCAGCAGTGCCACCTGTCACTTGCCATCAATGCCAGCTGTCAGTGCTCATCAATGCCACCTGCCAGTGCCCATCAGTGCCACATATCAGTGCCTACCAGTGCACATCAATGCCACAAAGCAGTGCCCATCTGAGCTTCCTTTCAGTGTCACCTATCAGTGTCAGCCAGTGCCACCTACCAATGCCAATCAGTGCCACCTATCAGTGCCAGTCAGTGCTGCCTATCAGTGCCTCCTAACAGTGCCAGTCAGTACCACCTAACAGTGCCTATCAGTGCCATATATGAGTGTTGCCTTTCAGTGCCCATCAGTGATGCCTGTCAATGCCTATCAGTGCCACCTACTAGTGCCTCCTCATCAGTGCCCATCAGTGCCACCAGTGCCCATCTCTGCAGCCTCATTAGCGCACATCAGTGAAGGAGAAAAATCACTTTTTTTTTTTTCAAAATTTTCAGTTGTTTTTGGTTTGTTTAGCAAAATTAAAAAACCCAGAGGTGATTAAATACCACCAAAAGAAAGCGCTATCTGTCTCAAAAAAATGATAAAAATGTCATATGGGTACAGTGTTGCATTACCGCGCAATTGCCACTCAAAGTGTGACAGCGCTGAAAGCTGAAAAGTGGCCTAGGCAGGAAGGGGGTATAAGTGCCCTGTAGGAAAGTGGTTAATCACTCCTGCAGGTTTGTTAACACACATAGTCTGCAGAAGAACTGCATTGTAGGTACCAATTTCTACAAAGATTTCATTGCCTTTCACTGAACATTCTGATCTCATCACCCTAGTATACTGCCACCAATGGAACCAGGGAGTCACAGGTAAGTTCTCGCATAGTTTCACACCCTGACCCTGCCATACTAATGCCTATCTAAGTCATAAAAAAAAAAAAAATTTAGATCCAATTTTGAAAATAGTCTTAACAATGGAGCTTTACTAGTTAAAGCAGAATAAAACCTTCCTATCCTATCCAAGGAAGCTAAATCTTGGCCTCTGTTTGAGCTACAGTTGCTATAGTGCAGTACTTGTGAACAGTTATGACACCAGCCATTGGGTGGCTTTACAGTTTGGTTGAAAACCCAAGCAGCTGTGACCATTATTATTCATGGCATGCCTTGAATTTATATGTTTTGGGAAATTGTTAAATCAATGAGTTTAGTTATGATTTAACATAAATATTACTGTAAAGATACATGTGACAATTTCTAGTTGGACAATTTAGGATCTAGTCTGTCGATAATCTTTCAGAATATGGTATGATCAAGGACTGACCAACCTGTACCCCAATAGATAATAATTTGGAATGGGACGTTTTGTCATGCTACTGTTGCAGCACTGAGCAGTATATGCAGTCATGGCATAGTCAATTCTAATGTCTTCCATGCAATCCAGGAGTGTAGTCCAAGCATGTCAAGATCTGTTAGATTTAGCCATTTGTGTTCACGGCCAAATCCATAAACAACTGGGATGATTGAGAATGGTATTGCCGTCCATGGGTTTGAATATTTATTCGATCTGCTAAATAATCACTATAGCTATAAATAGCCTTATATTATTTCCTATGGTCACTACTGTTCCTGTAACTCGAAGCAAAAACAACCTTTTTTTTTTTACTTTTTGCAAGTGCAAGTTATTCATTAAACACTGGAACTCTGCAGCTGAGGCGACACAAATATTGGTTTAGGCAAGAAAAAAAGACGGAAAGAACTAGTCTGAAGAGAGTGAAGGCTATGTAACCATGGTGAATGTGCTTACTGTCTGATGGACTTAATCCTTTCTAAATTACAATCTCCCTTCCCCATACAAGTGCACAGCTAAGTCATAACATGCTCCACCTTGCCAAACAATTTCTCCTGATGAGAAGCAACACATCAAGTGACTGGACTGAGTTGTTTATCCAAATACCTTACTAAGTACTTAGTACAGTACAGAAAATACCGGTATGTGTCGGGCTTAATGTGGAAAAATTATCACATAAAAGAATTTGTAAACAGGAAGGTGATTTTCTGCAGCTATTCTACTACACAGTAAACACTAAGCAATATAGGTGAATTATATTCTACATATTATGGACATTTCATCACTTTCAGACAAGGAGATATCAAACCTCGTCTCCATGATGTAAGGGGAATTGTTCTGTATTCCAGAATGGGAGAAACAAGCAGGCTGACAACACTGCCTGGGATTTCCATGCGGCTTAGGCAGTGTTGTCAGCTCACTACAGGAAGTTAGAAGTTCACAGGATTTGTTACAGATCAACCAGTTCTTTTCCTTCACTTGCAGCATTTTGCAGGAAGATGGGAAAATGTGCATATATTACAGAGATGTACTGACTATGTTTTTTTTTTTTTTTTTTTTTTTTTTTCCAGGCATACACTTCAGTGAGGGGATACAAAACCGAAAGAGAGAGAGTGCAATGATCTTTGCAATACAAACAACTTTTAATGGTCATCATTAAAAATTTAGACTCACACAGCTTCAAGTGATCTCTGGCGTGGAGAGACAGGTGCAGTTTCACTGTACTGAAGAGAGCTACAGGATCTTCACTTTCCAATGTCTTTTAGGAAGTTCAATATTAAAAGGAGAAGTATGGCCAAAGCTTTTTTGGCCATACTTCTCTTATGGATCACAAGAGTGTAATTCATTCTGCACTCCTATGACCCGTTTTCAGCTGACACTGGGCTGAAGCCCACTGTCGGCTGTTGTCACAGGGCTGGTCCAGGCTCTGGTAGAATCCGGAAACTATGGTTGGGATCTGCTCAGAAGCTTGGACTGGCCACTGGCTCAGCCTCTCAGCTGCGCTGCTGGAAAACTGAACCAATCACTCCCTCCCCAGAGCTGGAGGGGCAGAGCAGAAAGCCTGTGATTGACAGTCAGGGCTCCCTGTTTAGAATAGAGAGGAAAACTGAGTAATCAGCGTTCTATGCTCAGTTCTCAGTGCAGAGCCAGCAGGGGACAGATACAGCATCAGATCGAAGCTGCATTCACCTAAGTGCTGGGAGGTAAAACCACCGCTCAGCTGCCCCGGTTTTACTGCTTGCCTGAAATACACCTACGAGGGGAGTTCAAGTCAAACTGGGACTTTTAATTTTACAGGTATGAAAAGGGATGCTAGCATGGTGATACTACACATAGTAGTAAGTGGCAAGTGTGTCCTATTATTGATAGGCGGCACACATGTCGCGGGCCAGTCCAGAGACCATTACTCAAGATGGCATAAAATAGGGTTAGTGCATGTATGGAAGAGCGTGTGGTGCAGGGGGCAGACTGACCATTTGGAAACTCGGCCACTGCCTGAGGGCCCGGGGTCAGTAGGGGGCCCCATGAGATGCCCCTGGTACCTTTTTCATAGGCTTTTTTGAGTTTGGGCAAGGACACAGGGGCCCCATGATCCCCTATTGCCCAGGGGCCCCATGAGTTGTCAGTCCGCCCCTGGTTTGGCGATGAAGTTTCTTGTGAATGAAGGCGTAAAACCCGCAGATATCTACAGAAGACTTCAAGCACAGTATAGTGATGAGACAGTAAGATATTTTGAATGGTATAAACGTTTAAAAGATGACCGCACATCTGCCAGTGACAATCCCGGCCATGGTGGTTCCCTGCCCACAGCTATCATTCCTGTGAACATTCAGAAAGTAGAATGCCTGATCCTGAATAATCAATGTATAACTTGTTGCGAAATTGCACACAAAATCTTTCTGTGGAAACGGTGAACACAATGATGATGAAGTGAAGCAGGCTGACCTATCATGGTTCATGTGTAATAACAAATCTTTCTATGCCAAAACTTTCCAGGCATTGGTTAAACGCTGGGATACGTGTATAAATGTAGCAGAAGAGTATGTAAAAAAAATAAATGCAGTTTCCACTCCTTAAAATGTGTTCTTTTATTATGTAAACTCAAAAGTCCCGGTTTGATTGGAACGCCCCTTGTATTTCATGACCAGTTGTACCTATTATTCCTAAAACCAGGTGTTTGTTTTCTATATGTATATAGTCTTACAAAACTTCCAAGGTCTAAAATTTTTATTGAGTGGAATTAAGTTTGGCCTTCCACAACAGTCCCAGTTTTTCATTTGACTCCTTGGCAAAATAAATTGCCCACTCCTGTTCTATGGTGTGTACTTATCTCAGTCCAGAGCACTAATGTAATTTCTCTTTGCTGCCTCACTCCTCTGCTATCAGCAGAAGTCACTTCTGACAAGTTTACCTGACACCAAGATAAAAAAGGTGACAGGGGAGGGATCCCCAGCACACAGCCTGAAATTGCCTCAGCTCTGTTCCTAGGTGCTGTATGAATAGGAGTGTGTCCCTTTTCTCCAAACAGCTCTCAGAGCTCTCTTCACTGAGTTCTGCAGTGTGTAACTTCAACTCACTGTCCCCCTTTTCTGGAAGTTCAGACAAGCTTTATAAATTGTGCACTTTGAAAAGGTAAAGAGAAGAGAAGACTACAGATAAGTGTATAATTCTGGGTACTTTGTCTTGTCTCGGAAGGCACAGGTGGTGTGTGTACAGCCAGCCATAAAAGTTAATAGCTGTGTAGGTCGTACACAAGTAAACATTGAGGCTCCTGTGTATCCGGTTTTACCTGCACACGTGCATGTAGCGTATTTCCCAAAATGTGAAACTTGCGTGTTTGGGAAATATGCCACATGCACGTGTGTGAATAAACACTGATGTACAGGATCATCAGCATTTACATGAGTGGAACTGCACACAGCCATTCATGTATATGTCTGGCTGTATGCGCCACCTGCAGCTCCCTCAGTGTAGGAAAAAGCTGGGAATTTTGAGCCTCAAAACATTTGTGTGCGTGAGGCCTTATAGTCACCACTGATTAAGTTGTAGATAGCGATCTTACCTCTGCACAAGCATCTTCTCTCTGAAACAAATACTTTTAAATGACAATCTTGCCCAGCCCCCTTATTAAATTAGCTGCCCTTCACTGGACTCTTTCTATTTCTAGGATCTCCGTTCTGTTGATTGGTAACCAAAACTGAACTGCATATGTAAGTTGAGGCTGAATTAATGTTAACAAAAATGGTTAATAATGAATGCACATGGGTGGCAGCAAAGTCCATATAAGATTCACTTCTACAGGTAGAGATTGGTGCATAAAGGAAAATGCCTGATCCAGAGAGAAGACCATCACCTTCCATCCAGAAGAGAGACAGCATGACAGAATGTTGTGTTTCAGACCAACAAGGCGGCCACTGTCCTTCTGGAGCATGATGACGTCACATGGCGTGACGCCACCCTACGCGTTTCGTCATCAAAAGACATCGGGAGGGGCGGGTAATACTAAAAATGCCCCGGACGTCTTTTGATGACGAAACGCATAGGGTGGAGTCACGCCATGTGATGTCATT